AATACAATAGATGAACGTCACTTCATGTTATATTGTCTATAGTTAAGAAAAGTAAGAAATTCCCACCAAACTATTATTGTAATTATTTATCATTTAGATAAATTTATATCTCTAATGACTTGTATGCATAAAGCACTACTGTTAAAAGTAAGTAATTATGTGAAAACCGGGCTACGTATGCTCCCATAAACAAATCTGTACATTTGTATTTTTCTCTATGTCACTATTCATTCATTCGTTGAACTGAGTAATAAGAACTGCAAATGCACCATATAAATATGTTAAAAAAACCACACACACACAAATATGTATGTATATGTGTGTGTTTATATATAACTTAATTAAGGATAGCTCTTCTTTTAAACAATTCATTAACAGAATTTGCTAAAAAAAGATAAAATATCACCAACTGCGTGACAGGCTTTGAGTGATTGCTAAAACAACCGACCTTGATGTGCACCTTCATTAGTGTACTTGCCTTTGCAAAAGGAGCTTGATTATATACGCACTCCGACACAATTTACACATTGTGAATGAAGACATCGCAAGTTATGTACTATAACTAAGAGAAAGCATCATACATGTAGGAAGAAGAAAATCTAGGATGTACAGGTACTAGTATATAAACAAAATTAGTACTCTGGTTCCTCTTTTATAGTTACATCAGTGGCTTCAGTTCCTTCATTTCTTATAGACCTTTTTGTTATTTTCCTTTCAACATCATTCATAATGATTTATAATTAGAACTGTTTTTATTAACTGACGTAGGTGATGATATGACCACAATAGCTGGTAAAACAAGCCATGGCAGAATAACGAGTCTTGGCAACCGCAGCTCGTGGATCTATATCATCAGTTGGCAAAGCCTGTCTCTGTAGCAGATTCGTATACGTTCTGATTATTTTGGATGAGTGAGTGAGATAAAATGTAAAGTCACCTCGGCAATATTTTAGCCACAGTGACGAAATTTGGATGAGACGATGTTCGTGTGAGATAATGAAACTATTGATGATTAACGAAATTTAAATTAAAGGGATATAATCATTGTTTGAGAATGTTCCTGATACTTTTAAAGCACCATATCATTTTGTGTGTGCATATTTTAGATTAAGGGACATGCAGACGTTTTCTGATTTCGGGGATTATATTCCTAAATTGGTCAGCAAAGTCCGAAACACACTTGGGGCGCCAACTGGTTTCTAATAACATGACTCTTTGATAGACATCATAGACCAATCCATGGAGGGAGAAACGAGGCGGGAGTTGAATATATTTATTATACAATATTAATATATAATGACCCAAGATAACATAACAAATTCAACAAGTACTATTCTTATTTTATAGCATTTCAACAACTAATTCTGAGAAATATTTATTCTGGCCAGCATCAACAAAACAGCCGAAGGGAGAAAGTATCGATCCAAACCGCCAAAACAAGCAGCAGTATTATTCACACATTCGCCTTCAATACACTGGTATGACCGCACTCGACATCATTCATGTTACGTTTAATACCATTATGGCTCGTGTTACGTTTAATACCTATATGACTCGTGTTACGCTTAATACCTATATGACTTATGTTACGTTTAATACCATTATGGCTCGTGTTACGTTAAATACCTGTATGACTCGTGTTACGTTCAATACCATTATGACTCGTGTTACGTTCAATACCTATATGACTCTTTCCCCTAATTATTTGATGTTCGGATTTCCAAAACTCACGATAGGTTGCATAAGTGTTCTGTGCCCGTGAACCTGAAACATGTACACAAAATATAAATTCAAATGAAAATGAGCCAAAAACTGGGTATTGAGACAATATATCAATTTGTACATTCGTTAAGACTTCATTGGCTGTCTCACAAATGTACAAAATTTGAAGACTTGAATTTTGAAAATTACGATCATTCATGAGAATTTAAAACGATACAACAAGGTCTTCGGGAAAAGGGCGACATTTTCTCTCGTTGCTGCTCTGTCTGGTATTCTTACTCAGACATGCCAATGTCCTTTTGGTCACTTGAAGAGATAAACATATCTGTTTTGAACAAGGAAGGCTAAGTACCTCACATTTGATAAAGCAACTAATAATCTTATATTCTCTTCCAGGCGAGGTGCTATAAGGCCATAGGCATGTGTTCATTCTAATATATCACCGAGGAATAAAAAACAAGTTCCGTGCGTCAGATACAACCATGACACGCTTGTGCACTATTGATTTATGCAGAAGAGACCCTTTTCCATTTTTTATTAGTTACATTTAATGCAGCAGTGGGTGAGGTACAAGGTTAACCTGTTTCCCAAGTGGCATGTTTATCTTATTGGTCGTCGGGAGGTGCGAGTGATCTGAAACGTGAGTTCTCAGATAAGCGATCGTGATGTATCAGTTTATGTCCTGTGAGTAATCGCAACGGCCTTCATTCGACGTTATTGACCCTGTGTTCTTGAACCATCGACATTGTACACAAGCATGTCCATGTGTTCAAGTTCGCATAATTTTCTGCAGCACTTGTATAAGTGCCGCATGATATACACGCATGATATACACGATCTGTTTCGTGAAATTATCGGTATCTTAGTGAAGAAACTATATATGAATCGATCAGCTGTTTGCTTTCACAACCACGGTCGTTCAAATAACGTGAGCTCTCCTCGCATGGCGCCCACCTTTACCATCTCTCTCTGCAGCTATCCCTCAGGGACTTACGGGGCGCTGGGCTAGCCTAGTGGTTAAAGTGTTCGCTCGTCACGCCTGGACCCGAGTTCGATTCCCCACAAGGATATAATGTGTAAAAGCCCATTTTTGGTGTCACTCGCCGTGATGTTGCTGGAATATTGCTAAAAGCGGCGTAAAACTAAACTTACTCACCCCTCAGGAACTTACAGTGACTTACTACACTGGGCCCAGTTTCACAAAGCTCTCGTAAGCCTAAGATCTCGTAACTTTTCTCGTAGCATTCGTACCTCCTATACTGTAACACAGGAAGTACGAATGTTACGAGAAAAGTTACAAGATATTAGGCCTACGAGAGCTTTGTGAAACGGGGCCCTGGTCATTTCATAAAGAATACGCTACAAAGTATTCCTTATTTCGACGTTTCTGTAATATATATAACAGAAAATAACTGGTAATGTTCGAAATAATTACTTTTGAACAACTGATTCGAAAAGTGAATGAGTGAGTCGGGTTTATGCCTCCTTTAGCAAAATTCTAACCTATCACGGCGGGGAACACCAGAAATGGGGTTTCACACATTGTGGGGAATCGAACCCGGGCCTTCGGCGTGACGAGTGAACGCTTTAACCACTAGGCTACCCAGAGGTCCCAAAATGCTGTACAAGGCACCGTGCATTGAATGCGTCTATGGAGGTTTGCTGTTTAGAACAAACTTTATGGGTAGCAACTTGTTTTATTTGTGAGCGCGTCGTTTCGGTTCAGATTCTTGTACCGTTGTACCTCACAAATAAAAGATGATGTTATCCATAACGGTTGTTCTATATTGTATTTCCCAACTTCTAAAATGCCGGGGCGGTGGGGTAGCCTAGTGGTTAAAGCGTCGGCTCGTTACGCCGAAGACCCGGGTTCGATTCCCCACATGGGCACAATGTGTGAAGCCCATTTCTGGTGTCCCCCGCCGTAATGTTGCTGGAATATTGCTAAAAGCGGCGTAAAACCAAACTCAGTAAGTCAGTCAGTCTAAAATGCCACAAAGAAGGTTTGCTGCCGATGGCGTTTGTTACAACATCTGTAACACTGTATTGCAAAGATGTTGACCATCATTTGCATTGCAAGCATATTCATATATTCACCTGGGAATTCTTTTGTAATTTTAAGGAACTATCACCTGACAACAAACTGAACCTCTCAACAGCATTCCGATGCGCTGGTAAAATCCCTTGTTGCTTCTATTTGTATCACAAGAGCTGTGAAGGGAGTGTTTGTGTCTCAGCATGAATGACTCATGTACAACCTGTAATTCACATTTGTCTTACCGGGGGCCGTGGGGTAGCCTAGTGGTTAAAGCATTCGCTCGTCACGCCGAAGACCCGTTCGATTCCCCACATGGGTACAATGTGTGAAGCCCATTTCTGGTGTCCCCGGCCGAGATAACGCTGGAATATTACTAAAAGCGGCGTAAAACTATACTCACTCATTCATTTGTCTTACCGTTTTCACCCAGTCACCAGTATCAGTAATTCACGACAGCAAGTGTCTATTATTCAAATGCTTTTATGCTAATAATTATCAGGAATAATGCTATGGTTTCCATGGAAATATAGCACGTTGTCTGCATGTTATGTATTTGTTTATTTCAATGTTCGATGGTCATACATGTGTCGTCTATCTGCATATATGTTTATGGAAAGGGTGTTTTAATATGAAACATTTGTCCAATCCATTTGACCTTTTATGTCAATAAAATAAAAAAAATTAAAAACTTAACAGGTGGTTTGAATTGTAATCTTACAACTGAACTCAGAATGTAATGCACATTTGTCTATGGACCAATGCATTCTTGTATAGATAGGGTATCGAGTATACTGCTATATAAATACTCATTTACATGTATTACACTGTTGCCATAATATCTGATGGTACCGTTTCAATATGCTTTCAAAGAGGGTACGGTAAGGTCGGAAAGATTAAGAAGCAACAATTTGCCTGCAACAACAGCATCGTTGAAGACATAAAGTAATTAAGCCAATCACCAATGTTGATCTACCACTCCTCTAATAACGCCCAGCTTAAACCAACAAGTTTAACTGCGCCTGAATGGGAGACAATCTACTAATTTTCTAAAGCTGTCTCGTATTTTTCTCTGTTACCGCAACTCAAGACATGCCACTCAATATGTGCCAACCCGCATGTGACCGTCTCGTCACAAGGCAACTGGCTCTCGATTCTGATTGGTCGAATCAGAGTATATAACAAGTTGGCGCTCCGCATCAGAACAATCGATCTAAGCCTTACAAACTAGCCACATCTCGAGATGAAGGGAAGTAACACTATGAAGAACCTTGATAAGAAATTCGTGTACTGCGCCATCATGGGAGACGGCATGGTCGGCAAGACCAGCATCTCCGAGAGCTATGCCGAAAAATCATTCAATGAGAATTCTGAAACCACAGTGTTTGACAACTATGTCGTTCCACTGCAGGTCGCTGGAGAGGAATTTGTCATCAGCATGTTCGACAACTCAGCCGAGGTAAGTAACCGATACATGTTCGTGTAATTGGAAACAACAATTGAGTCAAAGCCTTTCTATAATTTTCATTTCGATATTTTCCTTTTTTAATTATAATTATAAACCGTATTTATGAATGGTATTTTTTTCAATGTACTTTTCTTTCGTTATATCTATAATGGCCCATCACAAAATACTTATCTGTCTCTTTTTCGTTTTCCAGAAACGTTTTGAGAGTCTAAGGGCATTCTCCTATCGGGAAAGCGAAGTTCTAGTCCTTTGCTTCTCCACCTGTGACCGGGAGACGTTGGCCAACATCAATGACCTGTGGATGCCAGAACTGAAGAGACATTCCAAACATTCCAAACAGAAGAGACCGGTCATCCTTGTGGGCACCAAGATTGACCTCCAGGTCGGCAATGAAGACAGCGAGGTCAGCACGGACGAGGGTGTCCAACTGGCCAAGGACATTGGTGCTGACTGTTATGTGGAGTGCTCGGCCCGCGACCACAAGGGTTTGAAGGAGGTCTTTCAGCATGTTGTCTTCTCCGCTCTGAAATTCAGGAAGAAGAACACGAACATTATCAAGAAGATTTTCAGACGCAAAAGTGGTTCATTTACAAGTTATTAGCATTTGTTGAATAAAAAATGGAATTCAGTTTCAACTCGATGCACACGGGGACACGGACTTGAGACCACACGCCATGCAACTGACGTTTACTGTGTGGGTGCCTGTGAAACATATCATCACTGTGATACAAACTACTACATAATATCCTTAGTGCTATAAGAAGTGCTTTAAATGCTAAGCGTGTGCCTTTGTTGGTTTTATCTGTGATATACTGGGAAGCGACTGTGATATACACGCTGTCTTCCTGATGGGGAATCAAACATTTAGCTGTTCCCCGAACAGACTTTTGTCACAAAATATGCATTGTTTTACATGTTTTATTGTGATTCTTCGTGTTGAATTTAATAAATATAACAAAATTAAATTTTACTCTCGTTACGTTATGACTTTGTCGTGATCAAATGGTAAACTGTGTTTATTAAAATAATTTTGATCGTTACATCGTTTAAGACGATCCCATAGAGAAATGTTCTTTTTCGAAACCATGATCTTTCTTCGACACTACATTTCGCGAGATGATTGTTCAATGATTCTCGAGTTAAGAACGTTTCCCTGTAGATCATCAACTGGAGGGTGTATCTCGCGATATGGGCGGTGGGGTAGCCTAGTGGCTGAAGCGTTCGCTCGTCACGCCGAGACCCGGGTTCGATTTCCCACATGGATACAATGAGTGAAGCCCATTTCTGGTGTACCCGCCGTGATATTGCTGGAATAGTGATACAAGAGGCGTATACCTAGACCCACCCACTCCTTGAAAATGACCAAATTTAAAACGAACACATGTGTGTCTTGTACTAGTGGGAGCCATAGAAACGTTTCCATGTTTTTAGAAACCCTTTCCCATTGTGCGATTCCGATGAGATTATATTGGTTGCTTGGTTGGTTTGTTGTTTAACGCTGAACTCAGCAATATTCCAGCTATATGGCGGCGGTCTGTAAATAATCGAGCCTGGACCAGACAATCCAGTGATCAACAGCATGAGCATCGATCTACCAAATGGGATACGATGACATGTCAACCAAGTCAGCGAGCCTGACCACCCGATCACGTTAGTCGCCTCTTGCGACAAGCATGGGTTATAGAAGGCCATTTCTACCCGGATCTTCTCGGGTAGATTATTTGGTGTGTTTAGGTATCAGTATCAAATTATGATGGCAGCAGGTGTTCAGGTGAACTTATCCAATACCACAGATGGTCCTTGTCACGAAGACACAGCAATATCACGGCGGGGGACACCAGAAATGGGCTTCACAAACTGTACCCATGTGGGGAATCGAACCCGGGCCTTCGGCGTGACGAGCGAACGCTTTGACCGCAAGGCTACCCCACCGCCCCTCATATTTACTGACAAATAAATGGTAGATCGTTGTCAAACCTTGTACAATACATATACAACAGACCCATAATGAAACGTCGCCCGGCGGCGGGTAGCCTGGTGGTTAAAGCGTTCGCTCGTCACGCCGAAGACCCGGGTTCGATTCCCCACATGGGTACAATGTGTGAAGCCCATTTCTGGTGCCCCGCCGGAATATTGCTAGAACATTGCTAAAAGCGGCGTAAAACTAAACTCGCTCACCTTTCGTCACTATTCACATAAATTCACAGTTTTAACAACCAATTGAATATTTTCCCCCTGTTAATCAAGACGGGATATTTGACCTTGACTATATATTTTTAAACGTCTACGTATAAAAGCAGAAATTCATCCTACCAACGTTTTTATCCGTAATCCGGACGATTCCACCAATGCCGGTCACGTGATTCACCGATTGTTTTTATTTACAGCAATGGCACTCTTTCCATTATTTAGTTTTACGCCGCACTCAATTAATCGAGTCTGTGCCAGACAATCCAGTCATCAACAGTATGAACATCGACCTGCGCAATTGGGATACCATGACGTGTCAACCAAGTCAGCGAGCCTGACCACCCGATCCCGTTAGTTGCCTCTTACGACAAGCATGGGTTGCTAAAGATCAATTCATAGCTGGAATATTGCTGAGTGTGGCGTAAAACTCACTCACTCACTCATTTGCAGGTATATCAAGCTCTGTCGAAAGTAGGTATTTACCATGTTTTGTACAAGACTCTTGACACGCTCATGGAACGTGAATCAGACATCTGTTTACTCGCCCAAACAGTTTTTCTAAATTTCCGGGGCCCCCTCAACAAATATGCGTCTGTATTTTTGTTTGTGTGTTTTTCAGCTGTTCTCATTCAAGGTTTAATCAAATGAGTACTTAAGATGTACTTTATAGGCCACATGAAGTAGCAACATCATACATGACGCATGTATTTTCTAAGCTTTAAGGATTATATACTGAGTCAAAAAAGAAACTTCACAAAATGTAATTTGAAAAATAATGAATAATTTTTCTCTGATGATACATCTATGTATCCGACATGGGATCCCTATCTTTCGATAGAAAAACGGTAGCAAAACCCACTCAAACCCATCCATTCGTCGTGCAAGTGACGTTAGTGCCAAATCAGGTTTTGCACGTGCAGTCGATCACGTGATATTCGCATCGAAGTCTTCTTCATATGCACGTGTTTGCATTGGCCTCAAGAATTGAAAAAACACTTTTAAACCACAGTTCTAACGGTACTTGAAATGCCACGATTGTCAAATGTGCAACGTGAACGTGCCGTTGGCATGTTGCAAGCGTGAAGATCAGTTATTGACGTTGCAAGAGCAATGGGATGCAGCCGTCGTACTGTGTATGACTTGCGAAGTCGTCTACAACAAACTGGCACCACTTCTGATCGCCAGAGATCGGGTCGTCCACGTGTGACGTCACGAGCAGAAGACCGTCAAATCGTCCTACGTCACCTACGTGACAGATTTCTGCCGGCTACACGAACCAGGGCTGAGATGTTTAGAGGTCGACTGTCCTCACAGACCATTCGAAATCGGTTGCGGGCTACCAATCTCCATTCTCGACGTCCATATCGTGGGCCAATATTGACGCCGTTTCATCAACGTTAACGTCTGCTGTGGGCCCAACGTCACCTCCGATGGACCCAGAGAGACTGGAATCGAGTCGTCTTTAGCGATGAATCCAGGTTTACCCTCAGATTCGCGGACGGCAGGCATAGAGTCTGGAGACGACGTCGTGAACGGTATGCCCAATGTTGTGTACAGGAAGTCGACAGATTTGGGGGCGGAAGTTGCATGGTGTGGGGTGCTTTCTGTGGGAACAACCGTTCCCGACTTCTGGTCATCCGTGGAAACCTCACAGCTGCTGCTTACCGCGACCAGGTGCTCACCCCTGAACTCGTTCCTTTCATGGCGGCTCATGGCCCAGGTCTACAGTTCCAGCATGATAATGCTCGGCCGCATACCGCGATGTTGACACGAAATTTCCTTCAAAACGCTGGAATCAACGTCATGGACTGGCCATCGAGGTCCCCTGACCTTAATCCAGTAGAGCACGTTTGGGATGCACTTGGGAGAAGGTTTCGTGGTCTTAGGAACCAACCTCAGAATTTGCAGAAACTTGGCGCTGCCTTGCAAGAGCAATGGCGCAGAATCCCCAACCACGTGTTCACAAGCATCAGGCAGTCGATGAGGAGACGGTGTTTGACAGTGGTGAATGCGCGGGGCGGCCATACACGATATTGAACTGAGAAATTTCGCATTTTTATTCTTGTGACTTGACCTTCTGTATGCCCATGTTTTGGAACGGCGGTGTAGCCTAATGGAACTGATTATGGCACTGTCAGTGTATCGAGTACATCACACAGATCTCAGCAATGAAATAGTAACAATTTAACCATCTTACCATCTCTTGTTCTTTATAGTGCCCTGAAGAAAGAATGTGAGATTCTTTTTTGACTCAGTATATATAAAAAATACTAATCATTTTTCTTTTTCAAACCCATGCATCAAGTGTCACAAGTTGTCGATTACAACTGATATGGCATGTGTCTCGAGGCCATGGGCGATATATCTCTTCCGACAAAAGTTAGAATCCTTCAGTTGAGTGTCAAAATAAAAAAGTCCCATCCAGTTCCATCAATTCCAAGTCCAATTCCAAGTTTCAGCGCAACGAAGGTGTGATTAACTGATATACAAGTGAACGTTCATTGATATATGTAATAAGCGTTCGTAAGAGATCAAGACTGTCTAGGTAAAGCCTATGACGTATGTATAAGCACCATCAAGGATGAAATGCAGCAAAGGCTACCTATTATTAAAGTGAACCAAACGTCTGGAAATGGGAAGTCATGTCCTCCGAGGGCGTGGTGTAAGGCCTCCAGGCACAGGAAGACTAAACTTAAACAACGGTTTGTTACATCCAGGGAAGGCATTGATAAACTTGTACAGAAACAGGAAGGAGGCTACAGAAGCAAGTTCCATAACGAGCTGGAGACTGTTAGGGCAACAGAGATTAGTTCTGGAAGCGTATAGGGAGAGTCGGAGTAGGGAATGAGAGACAGAAAGTGATCCCACTGGAGGTGACGGATCTGTATTTGTATCTATACACAAAAAACTTAGTTTAGCACCCCCTGACATATCTTACGATTGAATGAACCCCCGATCTTAACTTAACCCTTTGGAGCATATCTGGGACATGATTGGTTGTCGTGTGTAACAAAGGGATCCCCCTGTACAGAACCTGGCCCAATTGGAAGCTGCTGTACACGAGGAATGGCGTAGACTGTCCCTTCAAAGGATCAGGAGGCTGACAGGGAGTATGAGGAGGAGCTAGTCTGTCGTACAGACCCTGAAGCAAATATATCCAAGAAAGCCCACACAAGTCTAGAAAATGTGGCAAGTCAAGATTTCCTCAGCTTCTGAAAATGAAGAAAGTTTCAGGGCTCCTTTTCATTATATTTTATATTTTTTTATTATGAACTTTTTTCAGTAAAATATGTTCATTTCAGAGACTAGTTGTTAGTCTAAGGAGGAGCGTGCTGGCCACCATACAGTCACATGGAGGTTACATTCGGTATTGACCTTGAATCGTGCAAGACACGCAAAATGACATTTTGAATGTTCACTTTCACCAATAAATTCGACATTAAACATTCCAGGTTACCAAACAGACATGGTTTTGTATGAAAATCAGTGGGTTTTTTAAATGAGCAATTATCATCATAAAATCAACATGGATTTCAATCATTGTGTCGTTTTTTATGAGTCAAAGGATCAAACGAGTC